TAAATTGTTATGGTATAAAATATCTCAATATATAAATTGTTATGGTATAAAATATCTCAATATATAAATTGTTATGGTATAAAATATCTCAATATATAAATTGTTATGTTATAAAATATCCCAATATATAAATTGTTATGGTATAAAATATCTCAATATATAAATTGTTATGGTATAAAATATCTCAATATATAAATTGTTATGTTATAAAATATCTCAATATATAAATTGTTATGGTATAAAATATCTCAATATATAAATTGTTATGTTATAAAATATCTCAATATATAAATTGTTATGTTATAAAATATCCCAATATATAAATTGTTATGGTATAAAATATCTCAATATATAAATTGTTATGGTATAAAATATCTCAATATATAAATTGTTATGGTATAAAATATCTCAATATATAAATTGTTATGGTATAAAATATCTCAATATATAAATTGTTATGGTATAAAATATCCCAATATATAAATTGTTATGGTATAAAATATCCCAATATATAAATTGTTATGGTATAAAATATCTCAATATATAAATTGTTATGGTATAAAATATCCCAATATATAAAGTGTTATGGTATAAAATATCCCAATATATAAATTGTTATGGTATAAAATATCTCAATATATAAATTGTTATGATATAAAATATCCCAATATATAAAGTGTTATGGTATAAAATATCTCAATATATAAAGTGTTATGGTATAAAATATCTCAATATATAAAGTGTTATGTTACAAAATATCCCAATATATAAATTGTTATGGTATAAAATATCCCAATATATAGATTCTTATGTTATAAAATATCTCAATATATAAATTGTTAAGTTATAAAATATCTCAATATATAAATTGTTATGGTATAAAATATCTCAATATATAAATTGTTATGGTACAAAATATCTCAATATATAAATTGTTATGGTATAAAATATCTCAATATATAAATTGTTATGTTATAAAATATCCCAATATATAAATTGTTATGTTATAAAATATCTCAATATATAAATTGTTATGGTATAAAATATCTCAATATATAAATTGTTATGGTATAAAATATCTCAATATATAAATTGTTATGTTATAAAATATCTCAATATATAAATTGTTAAGTTATAAAATATCTCAATATATAAATTGTTATGGTATAAAATATCCCAATATATAAATTGTTATGGTATAAAATATCCCAATATATAAATTGTTATGGTATAAAATATCTCAATATATAAATTGTTATGGTATAAAATATCCCAATATATAAAGTGTTATGGTATAAAATATCCCAATATATAAATTGTTATGGTATAAAATATCCCAATATATACATACCGTGTATCATTTTGTTTTACATTTATTTATTTACTGTTATTTTTAATAGTCGAATTATTATTATTATGATAAAAAAAATTTAAAAATGTAAATGAATGTATAACCTGACAAAAATTACAGAGGAATTTTGGGGGTTTTCTTCCTAGACCGAAATACCAAAAAGCAAGATAAATGTGTCCCTTGTCTTACTGAAAGATTTAACTTAATGCTAACGTCAACTTTAGTTCGTTGTGTATTTTGGGAGGTGTAAACAAACTACTGTGGAGTTAAGCCAAATAAACGCCTAATTTTAGAGCAATATGTCGCCTACGTTTTGCTAAACGTTGCAACATCAAAATTGGGGCCAAACTGTTTAATTAATAATTAGAACACTCAGTTTTAAATTAAACCTTTCAAAACAAATTTATTTTGATCAAATGGATACTTAGATGTAAATAACATATTTTATCGACGTTTTTGAAAATGAATTTTTTTGATGTCCATTTTAAGAGCTAGTCTTGCTTTAGCTATCCTTGTATCAAGGGAGGTAATTCAGACAATCAACTGAATATTTATTTCAAATCTTAATAAAAGAGTAAAGGGGAAATATCTGAGGATGCAGGAATTTGGCTCCATAACTGCCCCTAAGGATACCTTTAAGGAATACAGAAAAATAGAGGAAATGGAAAATATCAGCTGAGGAGACTACAGGCTCCTATGGTAGGCTACAGGCTCCTATGGTAGGCTACAGGCTCCTATGGTAGGCTACAGGGGTAGATTAATGTACAAAGATGAAATATTCAAGGTCATCAGACTTTCATCCTGTTGGCTTATTTAAGATTATGGATAATCCGAGAAAGATCAATTATAGGGCCTAGATAGTATCAGCTTGTTGATACTCGAGGACATATGTTGATGTGGTTATCCAAGTTTAACAAAAAAAAATGGCGCCTGAAGCGATGGAGAGAAACACGTCGAAACAACTAGTTTATTACTTAGTCCCATAAAATTATGACTATTGATTAAAAATGTTTTTCCTTTCTATACCCTTTATTACAATATCTTTTTGGTTTTTTATATTTTGAGTCTACATTGTAATCTAACAAGTTTTCTACCAAAAGCCTGTCCTAAAGGTAGCCAGTATTTTTAACCAACTAAAGCTAAGATTCCATATACGCGTCATGCGGATGCTTCATGCGGACATAAATGGACCTTGCGGATCCGTCATGCGTCAAATATGATTCCATATGTGCGTTAAACGTATGCGTTATCTTTCTTTTGACGCACGGACTTCTAGACAGATGGATGCTTTGGTGCATAAAAAAGACAGGAAATCCCCACAAAATACATCACATTTGGGAGATCTCCGCGCGTAAAGGCGTCCGGGTGCGTCAAAAATCGCTATACGCGGCGATTTTTTTTTTTTACGGATTTCGGAGACCATTTGACGGATACCGCTTCCGCATGGAATCATACCCTCTTAAACCAAACATTTTGATTTTTAACGCATGAGGCATGACGGATCCGCATGATGCATACATGGAATCTTAGCTTTAGGGTGTCATGTTAAACGACCAACCTGATTCTTGATAAAAAAACAAAAAATTAGGAATTGTGAGATGGCGAAACATGACTTTTTGGAATTGGGTTTTTGCATGACACGTTTTGATTGATTGAAAATACTAGCCTACCTTTGCAACAATCGCAAGAATTGCCGAGCAGGAATTTGACTACCTTTTTATAAATCAATTCTTCACCATAATCTTGTCAAAATATCACCTAGAATCATTCGGAAAATCTTGAAGTCTTGTAAATTCCATAGGGTTGTTTCGTTGTTTTATCCATAATAAGAGAATGTTACTATGACGTCACAATGCTCTAACGTCGTCTGCACTGTCATAATGCGAAGCTAACCATCATTATTCGAAAATTTCTCTAGAGTGTGTCAGAGAAAGGACGCCAATGTATCAAAATCGGTTCAACTAAATTGTGACTTTAAGTATTCTCTACTCGTTCAAGACTAATATGCTTCATATTTCTACAATGTTCACTGTGACATTCAATCCTCTTATTAAAGGGCCGATGACTCTCGTATAAAAGGATCATTTTGATTGGTTTATAGTCGTGTACCTACCTGGTTAGAAATCTATTAATTAAAAAGGAGTGTTAAGAGTGAAGAAGTTCCTAAAAACTTCGAATGTTGTTTAAACGATTATGTAACAGAGGCACAATTTATTAATTTAATCTTATCAAAATTTGAACAAACGTATGCTACTTTCTATATTAACATAAGATACAGTGGTATATTGGTTGCTAGTATTGTTAACATCTTTTAATCAATAAAAATATTCCCTGGGGTAAATAATGGATGTAAACAGATAATCTGAATAGATTACAGCATTCTGTGTTATGTCTTTGGTTCACAACAGCTTATTGGATTAATAATATGGCTCTCTCTCATTGGCTATATTCGCTGTTATTCAATCCAATCATTGTGTCATAAGAAAGTACCCAATGAAGTCAATGTATCAGTTGAGGTTAGATAAAGTCTGAAACAAAGTTTTATAATGATTTTAATATGAACAATATTCTACATTTTTAAATATTTTAATTTTCACACTTTCCAATCTGTTATGTTAAAAAGGTTTTTTTTTAAATGTTTTTTTTGCCATCCAGGTAATAATTCAACATCTCAGCCTAAAAATCACCCTGGTTTAATAATCACCTTGGTTTAATCACCACCTTGGTTAGCAAATTTATCTTTATTATCTATATATAATTTCTGAAATGAAAAAAGAAGATAAAAATGAATTATAAATTGACAACGTAAAATTCTCATTGTGGGCCTTTGGCTTTTCTCTCTATTAATATTCCCTCAAAACTCATGAATTCTTGATGTGTGCAAACTTAATGATTTGATTTTATATAGTTTACCTGTAGAAGACCAGATTTATAAATTTATACAGATATTTTCTATTAGCTGAGATATTAAAGGAATACTACCTCTTAGAATGAACATAAAATTTAAGAATTTTCAACTTGGCCAATAATAGCATATATTCATCAGTAGATATACCTGGTGTCATAAATAACATTACAGTATCCCTATATAATAGGATAAATCAAAAAAACTTAGTTATTATCCATAAATATGCAATAAACTATAGAAAAAGGCTTAATATCACGATTGAGCGTTTTTCAATGATTACTTAGTTTTATGAATTTTCCAATTTTCTAGATTTTACAGGGATTCTGTTATAACTTTGTAACACCAGGTAAGGTAACTGATGAATAAATACTCATATTGACCATTGTTGAGAATTAAATTTTATGTTTAGTTTAAGACGTAGTATCACTTTAAAATATAAATACAAGTGATGTAATTATTTCAAAATTGTGCGCAAGACCGTAAGTCGCCTACAAAACCATCAACAATTTGATAGGCACTCTCAGGGCATCAGTGTATTGATTGTCTGTCAACAAGGCCATCTGCGATTTGTTACAATTCATTAAGAATAGGAACCTATGCTAGACTGTGATTACATAGTAAAAAGTCCACGGTTAGACTAAATAAGTGAGGAAATATCATCATTATTTATCAAGATAATCTGTTAAAGTTTCCTTTAAAATCTATATACAACTTATTGGTATATTCAGATCGAAAAACATGTCAAGTGAACGACATCGACTGAAAGTGAAGTTGGGAAATCATAGACACCATTATTTTCGCAGTCTTTTTACTTACTCCTCTATTGTGGTATCGCCATATTGCCTCGCCTCCTTCGTCTACGACTCTATCAAAAGCGTAGGCTGTAACAACCATAGCAAGAATAAATGTAGATGTTCTCCGTAAAACGGAATTATAAAGCGTAGTTACGAAAGTCATTTTCTTGTTTGGGGGATTTGACCGAAAACGGAAATGAGAACTAGAAGACGTTGACCTTCGCGTAAGAATAAAAGGTTATCGTCCTAATTTTTTTCAGTGTGACATCTTATTTTCAAAATGAAGTAACATTGTGTTGTTTTCTTTGCGCTTTGAAAACAATGCAATTATAAAATTTCAAAATAAGTTGTTTCCAACTTTCAATAAATCTCTTGGACTATAATGCGTCGCGGAGTGGTTCTAATGAAATTCTGCCAGACGAATCGACCAAGGTCACTGCTTATTCGACCAAAGATATTTATTAATAGACACATTCGACCTGAATAGAAACGTTAACATTGTTCATTGACAAATAGTTTTTTTTTTATGACATAATGGACGCCATAATGACGTTTTGATTCTTCTCTTCTGTTATATAATTAGAAAAATCTATTTAATATGCCTTCAATTCCAATGCCTGCCATCAAACGACCTTGAGAGGCCTTGAAAGATATGGAAAAGGTTATTGGATAAAGCTCCTGATTATTCATGATTTATTACTGATCATGGATGGTTCACAGTTTCAAACCGAAGAACAAAAACACACCATGTTTAATCAAAAACAGATAAAATAGAAACTTCAAATAGGAATAAACATTATTTATATTTTCAACAACAAAATATTAACAATAAAAACAATTCTATTAATCAAAAACATGACAAATCGGGAGTAATAATTGTATAGTAGTG